TTTCATTCGTAACTCGCTAACTAAATAAAAAAAAAAAAAATCTTCCTTGCTCTTCTAAAGATAATTCAAAATAAGATAAACATGTTCTCTAAAAAAAAAAAAAAAAAAAAAAAGAAAAGAACTAATTTGTAAACAGACAAAACTCTGTTGACATGTTATTAGCAGCAAACGTAAAAGTCAGGGCCAAAAAAGCGAGGGACCCAAACCATACCCAGCAAGCTAAATGCATCAGCACAAAATAAAACGAAAAAAAAAATTAAAAAAACACACTCCTTCATAGGGATCATTAATAAGGGTCTATACAACTGTTTGCCTGTTTTTTTTTTTTTTTTTTTTTTTTTTTTGGGGGGGGGGGGCACTGAACCACACATAGGCTTGTTACTACAGGGTTGGGTATTGCTGGAATAATATTGTAAGCACAGTGGGGTATATGCCATGAGGGACTGGGCATGTGCGGAGATCATTAAAGTAGGTACACATGTAAGGGTATACATAGCTATGGACAATCATATGATCATGGTGGGGCACGCTTTGTAAACTGCGGGGAATCGACTTGTTATGGTTGAGGGGCAGCGTGGGTGATGGACGATTAGAAATAGCTCACGTGGAGAACTGTTAAGAGAAGAAACATGTGTTAATGAATGTGTGTGTGTTTGTATGTGTGTGTGTGTGTGTGTGTGTGTGTGTGTGTGTGGTGTGTGTGTGTGTGTGTGTGTGTGTGTGTGTGTGTGTGTGTGTGTGTGTGTGTGTGTGTGTGTGTGTGTGTGTGTGTGTGTGTGTGTGTGTGTGTTGTGTGTGTGTGTGTGTGTGTGTCTTTATGAACATAAGTGATTCAAGCAGAGAAATAACTGCTTCAGCCCATCCATGTTACTGTTATCTGCGTGTGGCAATGGAAGTGTGAAAAGCGGCTGCAATTTGAGTGGAGCGTGAGGTGTGCGTGGAATATATGGATGAAATAAAGACGCCCTTTATGTGGATGCAGAGGGAGGACGGATGCTTGTGGAGGTGGAGCAGGGAAGGGCGCCCTTATTTGGGAGAGAGTGGAAGAGGCTTTTTGTCTGTGGAATGGTGGAGGAGGAGAAGGAGGAGGAGGAGCTATATCGACTTCAGGAATGGAACGTGGAATGGCGTGGAATTGATGCCCGGCGAGTGGATGGAATGGGGACAGCACCGTTCGTTAGGAGGAAATGGGGATATGGGTCCTCCGACAGGATGAGGGGGGGTGGGGGTAGATGGGGGAGGCGTCGCGGGGGTGGGGTGGGGTGGGGGGTCAGGGGGATAGGCCGATCAGCAGTGAGCAGTTGGAGAGGCAGCTGGCAGGCTGTGGTCGCAACGCCTCCAGGCAGGTTGGTTGGCACGGGCGTGGGGGCGTGGAGGCGTGGGGGCGGATGGGTTGGTCTGGCGGCGGCTCAAAACTACACATGCAAGCGTATTTCATAGGTTATATCATTTTTTTTACAACACAATCTGCAACAAATATGCTAACAACCGAGTTAATATTTGAGGGAAGGTATAGGGGGGTATATGTTAATCAACTTGTATGCTTGAATATTCTACTAAAACAGAAATAAAAAAAACAAAGCAAATATTTACAACCAAAAATATATATATTCTCATTACCGAGGCACAAAAAACAAACCAACATATATTAAAAAATAGTAAAAAAAAAAGAAAAGAAAAACGATTCACGCCTTCATGAAACCCCTCGGGAATACTCACCCTGGACAGTCACGGTAAAGGAACACTTAGCCCGATTTCTGTACGGATCCATGGCCACGTAATGCACCGGATACGTCCCTGCGGTCAGCTTCTTCCCGGGTTCCTGTTTGTAGTCCGAGAAATCCGTCGTATTATTGTCTTTTAGGAATTCGAAGGCTGATGTAATGCTATATCATCCTTCCTATATATTGGTATACTGTATGACATAGCTTATACTTTATGTCTGTAGTAAAATTGAACTCAGGCTTATTATTGTATTTTACTAATTCGAAGGATGACATAATGTTTTATCCATAATACTGACCAGAAGCACTTTATTCAATTCAAAGGATATATTGGTATACTGTATGACATAACATACTTTATGTTTGTAATAAGAACTCAAGCTTATTATTACTGTCTTTTAGGAATTCGAAGGATGATATGACGCAACATCATACATAATGCTTAATAGAAGCACGTTATTTAATTCAAAGGATATGTTGGTATAGTGTATGACAAAGCTTATACTTGATGTTTTTAGTAAGAATTCAGGCATACTAATTCGAGGGACGATGTTAATAGAAGCACGTTATATAAGTTCAAAGGATATGTTGGTATACTGTATGACATAGCTTATACTCCATGTTTGTAGTAAGAATTCAGGCATACTATTATCTTTTACTAATTCGAGGGACGATGTGACGCAATATCATACATAATGCTTAATTAATAGAATCACGTTGTTTAATTCAGAGGATGATGATAGATCGGCATGCTGCTTGGTGATGTATGACACAGC